AGGCACCATGTTGCTGGATGGTTGTTACACCCCACAATATTGAATCTCTCCCTTCCAGTCAAAGATTTATTTATTTATTTTCAAAAAGCATACCAGATTATAAAAATATATGCATGAGATTTTTCAATGGCAAAAAACTGGAACCAACCTAAATGCTCATTGACAGGTTAAATAAATGGTTGAATAAATCACGGTACATTCATTCTATGGAATATTATGCAGCTTTGCAAAAGAACGAGGTAGGTGTACTCCTTCAGGTATATTAAGAATGTATTTTTAAGGGGAAAAAAGAAGATGCAAAGTAATGTGCATTGTATGATTCCATTTTTGAATTAGAAATAATCCTATGTGGGGGAATGTGTGTATGATCACAGAAAAAGATTTGAAAGAATTCACTCTACACCTTTGGGGGAAATTGGAGGAGGACTTTTCACTGAAGCTAAAGGTTTTGGGTCTCCCTGAGCTAAGAGGTTGGCAGAGGACACTGGGATCCCCTTCTTTTACCTGGGTTTCAGATTCCTGGGAGGACCAAGAATTCTATCAGAAACATGTAGTAAGGGATCTGCTGATGGAATTAAGTCTCAAGACTTGTTTCTTTAAATGTGGTCCTTGGACCAGAAACATTGGCCTCATCTGGGAGCATGTTAGAAGTGCAGAATCTCAGACTCCTCCAAATCGGCAGAATCAGAACCTGCATTCCAACAAGACTCCCCAAATAATTAGTACACACATTAATGTTTGAGAAGTACTTTCCTGAATCACTCTTCACTTTATTGCTCACATAGAACCCAAACCACGAGGACAGGAAAAAAATTTGAGTGGCTCAAATATTGCACTAAATTCACATTTTAGAATGTATTCATTCATTTATGCAAGCAACACTCAAACATACACAGACAATGTGCTCCCTGCCTGTGTTGAGTCCTAGGAAGAGAGAGTTGAAGTAGAATAGTCCTTGCCTTTAAGAAGGTCAGTCCTAGTAAGGGATATAACAAGTAATAATAAAAATAATAGCTAACATTTATCAAGCACCTACTATGTAGCAGGTGTGGTGGTAGACTCTACCTTCATCTATATCATGTCAGTTCATCTTCACAACTACCTTAGGCCAGGCACAAAAGTGGGTACCTGTAGTCCCAGCTACTCTGGAGGCTGAGGGAGGATTGCTTAAGCCCAGGAGTTCGAGGCCAGCCTGGACAACTTAGCAAGATGCTATCTCTATCTTTTTTTTTTTTTTTTTTTTTTGAGACAGAGTCTCACTGTGTTGTCCCGGCTAGAGTGCCGTGGCGTCAGCCTAGCTCACAGAACCTCAAACTCCTGGGCTCAAGCGATCCTACTGCCTCAGCCTCCCGAGTAGCTGGGACTACAGGCATGTGCCACCATGCCTGGCTAATTTTTTGTATATATTTTTAGTTGTCCGATTAATTTCTTTCTAATTTTAGTAGAGGCGGGGTCTTGCTCTTGCTCAGGCTGGTCTCGAACTCCTGAGCTTAAACAATCCGCCCACCTCAGCCTCCCAGAGCGCTAGGATTACAGGCGTGAGCCACCGCGCCCAGCCTATCTTTTTTTTTTTTTTTTTGTCTATTTCTTTTGCTTTTTACTCAAGATCCTCCTGCCTCAGCCAAGCTGCTATCTCTAAAAAACAAACAAAAACAACCTTAGAAGCTATGTGCTATTATTATCCCTGATTAAAAGCTTTAAGTGCTTAATAAGCTAAGATCTAAACTGCAGTCTGTCTTATTTCAAGGTACATGGTTCAAATCATTTCAATGACATAAGATCAGAACTTTGATAAGAGGTGGCACAGCGGGCCATGAGAGTCTACAAGAGAAAGTGACTGATAACTTGGTTTAGGAAAGGCTTCCATGAAAAGGAGGAGGGACACCGGAGCTGGGTGCCATGTGGCAGCCTGACTCAGGAGAAGTTGGGCGATGGGAGTTTCCCTTCTGCCCTCATGCTGCAGTTTGCTAAGGAAGGAGAAAGGCAAGGAGAAAACTGAACACTGACAATATACATCATTGCTGTAATCCATTCTACACTCAGAACAACCTGGCAGTTAGGTGCTATTTCAAACCTGGATTCTATTCTGAGTGCAATGGGATGCCATTCTAAGGGTTCAAGCAGGAGCTTAGTTTAAGATCATGCCAGTTGCTGGATGAAGAATGGATGGGGGCAGGGCGAGGTAGAACAGAAGCAGAGATACCAGATAGGTGCAATTGCAGGCTATGGAAGGAAGACATTATAAGCCCCTCTTGAGAAAACAAAAATATAGTTAGACCATGAGCTTCCATTTTAAGAAAGGATTCAGTTTTTTTTCTCTGTAAAATACTTTGCTGGCTGGATATGTCAGGCTAAGGTAGTGGTCCTCAAAGTGTGGTTGAGCAGAACTGGTATCACCTGGGAATTTGTTAGAAATGCACATTCTCAGGCCCACCCAAGAAAACCTGAATCGGAAACTCTGAGGATGAGGCCCAGCATTCTCTGTGTTTTGTTAAGCCTTCCAGGTGATGCTGAGGCTCACTCAAGTTTGAGAAGTGCTGGGCTAAGAAGAGAGTCTCAGGCAGATACTTTTTATTTGCACTCTGGTACAATCCACCCAAGGAGAAACCCTCCTTCAATATTTAGAGGACATTATTTAGGTAATTACACAAGTCATAAAACAATGGCCAATGAGAAATTAATGATAAATGTTCTAGTTCCAGCAATATGCAACTTAATCCTGGAAACTTTCCTTCTGTGAAACATCTTAAAATGAGTAGAGGGGTTAAACAAACAATTAGGCCAGGTGCGGTGGCTCACACTGGTAATCCTAGCACTCTGGGTGGCTGAGGTGGGAGGATTGCTTGAGCTCAGGAGTTTGAGACCAGCCTGAGCAAGAGCAAGACCCTGTCTCTAATAAAAATAGAAAAATTAGCCAGGTATTGTGGTGAATGCCTGTAGTCTCAGCTACTTGGGAGGCTGAGGCAGGAGGATTGCTTGAGTCCAGGAGTGTGAGATTGCTGTGAACTAGGCTGATGCCACGGCTCTCTATCCAGGGCGACAGAGTGAGACTTTGTCTCAAAAAAACAAACAAATAAAAACAAACAACAACAAAAAACCCATTAGACACAGTTAAAGAGAGAAATATTGAACTGAAAGATGGAGCTGAAAAAATTACCCAGAATGAAATATATAGAAAAAAATCATAGATATAAAAGGGAGATTCAGATACCTGAAGAGTAGAAAGAATAAATTCAGTATTTGCCTGATAGAAGTTCTAGTAAGAGCAAATAGTAAGGATGAGGGAGAGGCAATATTTGAAAGAAATGGCTGAGAATTACCCCAAATTGATGAAAGGCCTGAGTTCTCATATTCAGGAAGCCTGAATATATTCCAACAGAATAAATGAACATGTATCTATACCTAAACACCAGAACACCAAAAACAAGGAAATGTTGAGATCTGGAAAAAAAAAATGAATAGTGAGTACACAAATGTCATCATATTTTTCTCTCTAGTGTTATTCAGTGTATTATTGATTATAGTATGCTTGGGGTGATGAATATGTTATGAGACTAAATAGTGATATAGGGGCACAACACTGTGAATGTACTAAATGTCACTGAATTGCACACTTTACAATGGTTAAAATGCTAAATTTTATGAGTGTTTTACAACAATAAAAAAGATTATACCAGTTCATGTAAATGAAACATCAGTAAAGCTTGCTATGCATCTTTTCCTAGATGATTTTTTAAAACCTTTTTATTTCAAAATAACTATAAGCACATAATAAATTGCAAAAATAGTACAGAGAGGTCCCATGCACCCATCACCCATTTTCCTTTAGTACCCTCTTACCCTATAGTACATTATTAAAACCAGGAACTTGATACTGGCATGATTTAACTAGCACGCAGACTTTATTCAGATTTTTTGATGAATTGTTTTAGAAGATATAAAATATCCAGTGCAGCTTTCCACTAGTTAAGATAAACAATTTTACTGTTCTCATCCCATCGAAGAAAATGTTTTGATTTTTTTAAAAATAAAATGAGTTCTGTTTTTTCCCCCTGAAACCTTAAAAACAACTCAAAGTTTTTCATTTTAGTTTTTAATATCTTCCCAAAGCCAGGACTGAATTAAGGGGGTGGCAGTGGAGATAAAGAGAAAAAGGTGGCTTTGAGATGGAAACAAATGGATTAAAATGGATTTGGTTATCATAGCAGAAGGAGGAAGGAAGAATACTTGGGTTCCGGCTTCAACAACTGAGTGAAGGCTGGGACCCTTATTGAGACAGAGAAGTCTTGGGAAGGGTTGGTTTGTAGGGAACATCATGAGTTTGGTCTCAGGCTTGTTCGGATGAGATGTCTCTGGGACATCTAAGTGGAAGTCCAGTAGGCTGTTAAAGAAAGGGTCTAGAGGACAGAAGGGAAAACTGAGCTGAAGTCACACAACTGGAGAGGGGCACAACACACAGATCATATTTAAAGTTCCCCCCAACCCCTGTTCATTTATTCCATAAATAGTTATTAAGTGATTCTAAGCCTTAGGGATGCACAGGTGAAGAGAGACAAGGTCGGCCCCTGTCCTCTTGGATCTTATGTTCAGTGCAGGCAGTTTGGATGTCAGAGAAAGGACAGGGTGGTGGCTTTTTCCAGGCAGGCTCAAGGAGGGAGGTCACAATGTGTACCTTGTGATGAGATCCATGATGTAACTGGGATGGCAGCAAGGACCCCACTGGGAGCCAGGCCTCCCTCCTGCAGGACTAAGCCTCATGTTCTCTCTCTGTCCTGGCATCTTCTATTCCACACCCAGTCAGAGATCTCTTTGGGGGTGAGCAAATGGATAGGGAGGCAGGAGATGAGGGGCTGGAAGGAGGGGTGGGGTGGAGGGTTGGGGAGCCATGGAGGCTGACAGGACAGAGGGACACTCGTGCTGCCTTTGATCTCAGCGCCTCCTCCTTCCAGGCAGAGAAGCCAGTCCGCTGCCTGCCACAGGAGTCTTTGCCTGGGCCACACATGAAGCGCTGGCAGATTTTTGTCCTGTGGGTCTTTTGGGTGCTCATCTTATGGCTGACGGCCCCCTGCTTGGATCTGACACCTGAATCAGCACTCCAGGAAGAACAGACATACTTGGTACCATGGAGTTGCACCTGCCCTTGGTTCAAATCCAGGAAGTGTGGCTGCCCTTCTGAGACCTTCAACTGCTCCTCCTGCCACCACGCAGCTGGAGGATGTAACTGGTTTGACGCACGCTGTGAGAAGACCAAGGGGTACCTGATGAGGACAAAAGAGTCTATGGCCTCTGACACTGTGCTCTGGTGGCTGGTCAGTGGTCAGCCCTGGGCCCAGTCCCATCCTCCAGCCTTACTGGGCCTTGCCCGTCTCCTACTCTCTGGCCCAAACCCCTGCCCTGGGCCCAGGCGTGGTGCATCTCCCGTCTCCATAGCCACAACCCCTGCCTTCTGGATGGAAGCCTCGCCCTCCCAGGTCTGTGCTCCTTCACCCGGCCCAGCCCCAATCTCCTCCCTCCTGCTGTTCCCAGGGCATGAACTCAGGGAGTGAGCTTGGCAAAGTGTGGACGACACTATTTAAAGTGATTCCCAGACCCTCCACAAGCCATTTTGATCTCTCCTGTGGGGCTTGTGCGATGCTGGGGAGCCCACAGATCCTGCCTGGCTCTGGCCTGGGCAGCAACATGGACCAGCACCCCGTGGCCTTCAGGTGGGTGCTGAGGACAGGGTGGAGCGGGAAGGCCAGGCGTGCCCCAAAGTCCTGTCAGTCTCTGCTCTCCTTCCCAGGGTGAACCTGGCCCTGATCTGGGGCTTCGAGACAGATGTGGGGAACTAACCCACAGATGCTTCATCTGTCCCAGGAACGCCAGCGACCAAGGTTCCTGGAGGTAGCTGCCGCTGCTGCTGCAGCTTCCTGACCTGGCAAGGACTTCAGACACTCTGAGTGACGAGGTATGGAGTTGTCCCAGACATTCTCAGTGTGGGGGCAATGGGAGGCCACTGCAGGGGGCCACAGCAGGCACTCAGGGGAAACCCTCTGAGAGCTTACTGGGGGCACCTGGGGCGGATGAAACTCCCCACCTCCAATTCTTTCTTAGATTTCAGAAGATGGCCCAGTTTTCTAGTGGCATAGGACATGGCAAAGACAAGGTGGGGGGATAGGAAGGAAACGGATGTGGCTGTGGGCTGCAGTGGGGAGGGCCCCAGGTACCACCAGGGCAACTGGCTGGATGACCAGGGCTGGGGGCCATCCCTGGGGCTCATGGCTCTGTTCCGTGTCTTGCACACCTGTGCCCAGGCAGGAGCTCCTGGGCTCAACGCTCCTCCTGCCTTAGCCTCCCGAGTAGCCAGGACTCCAGGTGCACCACTGCGTCCAGCTCGCTTCATCCCTTTTCACCGCTGCCCTCCTCTCATGCCCCGGGGAATCCTCTCTCTCCCTCCAACATGATGAGGAGCAGCTAGTTGATGCTCTCTCTTTTGGGCTCGTGGATGGCTCTTCGGGAGTGCTTACCTCACTGTGTCCTGAGTCTGTGTTCCCTGAGAAGGTGAGCTCCATCCTCCTCCCAGCTCCTGGAGGCAGCCTGTCACACTAGATGCTGAATGAGGGGAGATGGGGGTAAGGACAGGAGTCTGCTGTGACACACCCTTCCATCATCCACCAGGTCACCCTCTTTGGATTTGGATCAGAACAGCAAGGAAAGTGGTTCTATTACTGGGAGGATGCTAATCAGACCAATTACTCCAAGGAGATGCTGTCCCTGGATGGTACAGTAGCAGAAATGGAAGCTGTTCATCAACTGCAGTGTGTGGGCACTGCCCACACGTGATGCTGAGCTGAGTCCCACAAGTCCTAGTCCTTGGGTGTGAATGCAGGGGAGTGCTGGGATTACAGCAGCAGCAACAGCAGCAGTGTGACTGTGAAGACTCTCAGGGGTAATGAGCAAGAGGAAATTCTATGGAGATCAGTCTGGTGCTGAATAAAATCCTGGCCTGATTCTCTTACCTGTGAGCAAAGTGTCTGGAAGGAAGGGCCAGACTTCACCTCCAGAGCTCAGGGCACACCTGATCCCCAGAGCATGAGGTGGGTGTAATTTAGACCCAACTCCATGCAAAGTACAAACCCAGACTTTGAGTCATTGGGGGAGGCTCTTTTCCCACGCAGAGAAGCCTCCGTCTTTCATCCCCACTGTAGGGTAGATTTCTTCTCTAGTCCAGCTTTTCACTTGAAGGTTTAGCATTTTGAGGTTCTCAGGGTCTTTTTTAGGGGCCTCAGTTCCAATCCTCTGCCTCCTCTGGGCTCAAGGCCCTCTGCCCACCTGGGCCTTAAAACTCCTAAATTTCTTGGCTGTTTTTCAGTTCTCTTTTCAGTTCTGGCCTCTGGGGACTTCCTGTTTTTCTTTTGACCTTTGCTCTGTATTTAAGATCATTTTTATTAAAATAATATATGGTATGTATATATGTATGCTTGTAAATTTTCCAATTAACTTGGGAAGGGTACATAAAACATTAGCAATGGCCTCAGGGAGCAGACAGGTAAGGAGGAACAAGGGATGGATGGATATTTTCTCTTCATTTACTGTTTGTACCTTTTGGATTATGTACCACAGACCCATATTATACATTCAAAAATAAATACGGTTTTTAAAAATTTGAATATTATGTTTTGTCTAGCAGTTCTGGGCATTTGTAGTAGAAGGATTTTCAGGTTATCTTTTAATTCATCACTTTGCTAGAAGTGGAGCCCAAATTCAGTCTTCAGAGCTAGCCTGTTGTTCCATGAGCTGGCTGCCTCTGGGTGAGGCCAGTGTGTGATGAGGCCAGCGCATCCCAAGGGCAGCAGCCAGTCGCCTTATTTCTTACACTGAGTGGTATAACACAGCGGAAGAGAAGGTCTCTACAGCCACTGACCATGGCGCTTCTCAAAGCATCACGGACAGGGAGGGAAAGTTCAGATCCAGAATGTCTTTTCCAGTAAGGACAAATGGGTGCCACCAGGTGGCTGGGTAGTTCCCTTGGGGAGTGTCACCAGGGGGGGATTGGTGCTGGCAAATTTGGTGTTCAGACGAGCAGTAGTCAGGTGAGCCCAGGTGAGGAGTCCACGTTGTCATCCGTACTGTAGCCTCTATTCTGAGCACTTTGCTCCTACGCTCATTGAACAAGTGCTGGGGAATTACATGGGTATATTGCTTTAATTTTTGTTTTCAGTTTTCAGATATTATCTATTGGTTTCTAGTCTGGAAGAAAAACAGTTAAGCCTCTTACACCATTCTTCCCCTTAGTTATTCCCCTTTCCAGCCTCCATAAAATAGTTACCTCACCATTTTGGTTATTATGGCTTCAAAAAAATTGCTTAGTTTCCTATGTACCCATCATTAACTCTTTCCCAAACTTTGAGAGATTGGCAAATCTCCTCTCAATGTGATCAAACACATCAAATTGATCAGTTTTACTATTTTTGGAGGAAGTAGAATTTGCTAGGACAGTCTATGGAAGTAGACTGTTCCATACATGGAACTGCAAAAAAAATGGTTATCTATATGGACAAAGATAAAATTGAATCCCTACCACAGAGCATATATAAAAATTCAACCCTAGATGGGTTAAGGGCTGAAATGTCAAAAACAAAACTTGGAAACTCAAGTAGAAAATATAAACCTTTTAGACCCTGTGGCAGAAAAAGATTGCTTAAACATGACACAAAAAGTACTGGCTATAAAAGATTGATAAATTTGACTACATTAAATGTAAGAACTTTTGTTCCTCCAGACCCCTTCAAGTCGAAAAAACTTCAAAACCCAGAGAAGATGATCACTATACACGTAACTGAGAAAAGTTAGTATCAATACTACATAAAGAATTCTTAAACAATAAGAGCAAAAACAACCATTTGAAAAAAAGGACAAAAGACATAAACTGACACAGAGGGAAAAAACCACATATGGTCAATAAACATTTGAGCACCAATATGATTGGTGTCAGGGAAGTTATCAAGACCACAAATGAGATACCATTTTCCATCTTAATTCTTAATAGTCAAATATTTAAAAGTCCAATTATACCAAGTAATGGAGAAGATGTGGACCCACAGATCTCTGATATATTAGTATAGACACAAATGGTGAAAAATGGCCAAAAAAAAATGTGAGGAAAAAACGTGAACATTCAAAAACTCTCTGACTCAGCAATTCTACCCTTCAGTATGTACTAAGAGAAATGCATAAGAATGTTCTCAGCAGCACTCTTTCAAATTAAAAACAAAAAAACAAAAAAACACCTGGATATAACCACAATGTTCATCAACACAAGCATATTTTTAATTTTTAAGGACTTTCTTGTTCTCTGAACATTCCTTTTTAAAACTGACTCCTGTTCACATTTCAGAGACTCCAATCTGCTCTTAGCAACTCATGATATAACATTTGCCCCTTGTGTTTTCTCTGTTTCCTCTGGGCTCCTTTTCTCTGTATCTTTTAGTCTCTAGTTAGAAGGTTTTCTCACACATCTGGCAATCTTTTGCTTTCCTTTTCATTTGAAGAGAGTCACTATTTCAGTTACCTATCACTGTTAAATAAACAAACCAAAACTTAGTGATTTAAACAACAATCATTTATTTGTTCCTGATTTTGCAACATGAGTAGGACTCAGTGGGGACATCTCTGTGTTCCACATGGCTTTGGCTGAGGCGGCTCAAATGGAGCCAGAGAATTCACTTTAAGGATGGCTCACTCACAGACCCAGCAAGTTGATTCTGGCTGCGGGCTGGGAGAGTTCAGCAGGGACTGTTGGCCAGGGGCTTTCATTACCATCCATGTGGGTCTCTCAGTGTGGCTGCTGGGGCTTACAAAGGCTTTCCAAGAAGGACAACCCCAAAGGGAGCATTCCTAGAGGAGGGAAGTAGAAGCTGCCAGTGCTCTTATTGGAGAGATGTCCAAACGTCAATGTCTTCACATTTTTCTGTTGGGTGTTTCCTTTCAATCCTCCTCCCCCACCTCAATTCCAGCCTCAGCCATGCTTGGTCTTTTGTGCTCAACCTCTCCAGAGAGTAGAAGGTAGTTTCTTGTGTGAGGTGGGGGCAGAGCACAGGTTGGAACTGGAGCCAACTTGCTCCTTATAAATAATGTCAACCCATCTTCCTACTTACAGCTCCACCTTTATTCCCATTTCACAGCTGATGAGTTCAACTCAAGACTTCCTGTGGTAAGAATCGTCTTTCTTCTTATTATTAAATAAATAACCTGTTGCCTGGCACATATTAGTTTTTTTCCATCTTGCTGTGTCTTTTTCCACTTGTCTATCTGCTATTCATCTTGGAAATGTTTGTTTATGTGCTCATCTGCTACTGCCTCTCCTCCAACTTTTCTTGTCTTTTGTGGGTTTGTGTATTTTTCATTCCTTTACTATTATTTTTAGGAAAGTGCTGAAAACTCTATGTTTAATCAAATGCTTTAGCTGTTTCCTGGGACTCTCCCTCACAGAGCTCATCTGCTATGCTGTGATTAAACCCAAGCAGCCATATGAAAGGAAATCAAGGCCCCCATACAAAAGTTCCACCAAGCCCCCAGCCAACAGCTTTCGATTTACTATTTGGGAAGGGAGAGCAAGCTCCACTTATACCTTCTTCTTTGTTAGTCCTCAGGTCAGGGAGTCAATGTGAGGAATGGGATAGAGGCTGAGGATACTTACTACAAAATAGTCACTCAGACCCTGGGAAAATAAACATATGTGTTTGTGGTACTATTAGACCTATGTGAGGTAAGCTTTGATTAAAACTCCAGTTATCACCATATATCCAAACTGACACTTAATGGCATTTTGCTTTCCCAGGAATTGATGTTAGCTCAGAACTAGTGCATGATACCCCACAAAGGTCTACATGTTTCTGTTTCCCCACT